CCGGAAGATGAAAAACGTAGTAAGACCTACGGGGAAAAAGCCACCCAAACCCGAACCGGCCCGGGAAACGTCTCCTAAAAGGGAAAGGGGGAAATTTGAGTAAAATTTTTGCAACGAACCCCCGGCCGGCCCCCCGTGTGGAAAATCCAATTATTTTTCCAGAAATACAGTATTATATGTAAATAATGCCATACGTAAATTTAAAAAGAATTATATTATGGAAAAAAGGGGAAAATGGACCTGGCCTGCCAGACAGGAGCAGTTTGGGCCCTTGTTAATTTGAATTGGGCACAAAGTTAAAATGTAATGGGAAAGGGAATTTTTTGTCTCTAAGGGTTTAAAAATTGGGGTGACACCTCTCAAATAGGAGGCGAAATTGTTGGATGTGCAGTCCTGCATAACTTGAGATATCAGGCGACAGGACAGGACAACTCCAGGAACCTCGGATAAGTCTGTTATGTTATAACTCTGGCCAGTTGTTTTTTTCATGTATAGACAGTGAGGTTTTCTGAGTATGATACAACTTAATCTCCAGTTAAATTGGTGAGTGATTTTTAAGATATTCTCCTTCTGTTATGCAATTGTGTATATATATAACCATTTATTATTTTTAATATACAGTCCACAAAATTTATATATTTACCAGTATTCCTGGTTATACATATTTCATTGGTAATTAATAGATCCAGAGCAACTTGTGGATATGACAGTGGTAGGTATCGAAGGGGGACATTTTCGCGACCTAGGTGTCCCAAATTCCTACTTGTCTAACTGATAAATAATAATTATCTATGTTCATTTATTGTTATATACATAATGATACATCCAGATAAATGCAATTTTCCACAGTACTATTTCCCATGCGGTTCTATTTCTGTATGTCAGTTTCGACTCACCTCTCCTTTCTAACTTCATAAGTCGAGTCTTATCTCCTGGCCTTCCTTCTTAGCGGATAGTGATCGGTTTCACTCATTCCAGGCCTCGGGGCCTTTATCATATCTATTCTTGAAGCTGTTTATGGAGTCTTTGTTTACATGTTCTTCATCCAGGTCATTTCAATTTCAGATCAACCAGAGGCTGAAGAAATATTTCATAACATCCCTGTTGCTCACGTGTGTCATTAGCTGCTAACTGTTGCTCACTTATTTCCCCGCCTCTCACACAGTCTTTCCTGTTTACCCTATCAGTTCTTCTGTGGGCATTACAAGTATAAAAAAAAGTGACAGGATGCAAAAACAAAAAGACAGAGAACGGAGATTGTGTTGGCCGAGCTTTTTTAAGAAAGAAAAAAACGGAAATTGTGTTGACCAAGCTTTAGTAAGTCTATACAGCAAGGGAGAGTAAAATACGACCCTCCGGCCATATCCGGCCCACCAAGGAATTTGTCCTGCTCGCCAATAAAAATTTAGGAAAACTTATTATGTCTCTTGATTAAAAAATATTAATTTTAATTTGATTATATCCTAATCAAGAGCGTGTGTTGAGCAGTGATAAGAACAGCATCTGGCAAGTCTTGACGCACTTATAACCACCCAGACATAATTTCTCAGCAAGATATATACAGCTGTATTTTTCTTCATTGTGGATATTATGAGAGTTTGTTTTAATTTCTAAAATGGGGATTAAAATATTCTTGTGTGGTGGTGAAAATATTACTTGCAACCTGATTTGAGGAGAGAGAGGTATCTCTGACGTCTCCTTTGTTATCCCCTGGGTGAGTGCATATCAACATTTGTGTTCCAGCGTTCGTACCTTCAGCACTCACCTCACAGTGTACCAGCACTCACCTCACAGTGTACCAGCACTCATCTCACAGTGTACCAGCACTCACCTCACAGTGTACTAACACTCACCTCACAGTGTACCAGCACTCATCTCACAGTGTACCAGCACTCACCTCACAGTGTACCAGCACTCACCTCACAGTGTACCAGCACTCACCTCACAGTGCACCAGCACTCACCTCACAGTGTACCAGCACTCACCTCACAGTGTACAAGCACTCACCTCACAGTGTACCAGCACTCACCTCACAGTGTACCAGCACTCACCTCACAGTGTACCAGCACTCACCTCACAGTGTACCAACACTCACCTCACAGTGTACCAGCACTCACCTCACAGTGTACCAGCACTCACCTCACAGTGTACCAACACTCACCTCACAGTGTACCATCACTCACCTCACACTGTACCAGCACTCACTTCACACTGTGTACCAGCACTCATTTCACACTGTGTACCAGCACTCACCTCACAGTGTACCAGCACTCACCTCACAGTGTACCATCACTCACCTCACACTGTACCAGCACTCACTTCACACTGTGTACCAGCACTCACTTCAGACTGTATCAGCACTCACTTCACACTGTGTACCAGCCCTCCACACTGTGTACCAGCACTCACTTCACACTGTGTACCAGCACTCACTTCACACAGTGTACCAGCACTCACTTCACACTGTGTACCAGCACTCACTTCACACTGTGTACCAGCACTCACTTCACACTGTGTACCAGCCCTCCACACTGTGTACCAGCACTCACTTCACACTATGTACCAGCACTCACTTCACACTGTGTACCAGCACTCACTTCACACTGTGTACCAGCACTCACTTCACACAGTGTACCAGCACTCACTTCACACAGTGTACCAGCACTCACTTCACACAGTGTACCCAGCTCACTTCACACTGTGTACCAGCACTCACTTCACACGTGTACCAGCACTCACTTCACACAGTGTACCAGCACTCACTTCACACTGTGTACCAGCACTCACTCGTTCACACAGTGTACCAGCACTCACTTCACACTGTGTACCAGCACTCACTTCACACTGTGTACCAGCACTCACTTCACACAGTGTACCAGCACTCACTTCACACTGTGTACCAGCACTCACTTCACACAGTGTACCAGCACTCACTTCACACTGTGTACCAGCACTCACTTCACACTGTGTACCAGCACTCACTTCACACAGTGTACCAGCACTCACTTCACACTGTGTACCAGCACTCACTTCACACAGTGTACCCACACTCACTTCACACAGTGTACCAGCACTCACTTCACACAGTGTACCAGCACTCACTTCACACTGTGTACCAGCACTCACTTCACACTGTGTACCAGCACTCACTTCACACTGTGTACCAGCACTCACTTCACACAGTGTACCAGCACTCACTTCACACTATGTACCAGCAGTTCACTGTTGCTCTACAGTGAAGATTAATTATCTTGCTTCCACACTGTTAGTATTGCCTTTTTGCAGTATAACATTTTTGTTCCCTTGGGAACAGTGCTGCTTGTCCTTAACCTCTACCACAGGGTTTCCACCTTTATACTGTTCCCTAATTCACCTTCCCCCTCTTTTTTCACGCCACACCATGTGTCCCCGAAAAATAACCT